TTTTAAGTGTAACAGGCATACTTTGGTTCATCGCCAATCGCTCTTGTCTGAGAGATTGATACACTCTTCAAACCCTGGCAAAGAAAGGCAATCCTGGGCCTGGCCAAGTTTGTCATCTGAACCCTGGGTCCCCTTCTGCGGCCACCTGTGGGTCCTAGCTGAGGCACAAAGGGCTCTGAGCTTTGTCTTAGTTCTTAGACACAGAACATGGGCTGGCTTTTTTTTTTTTTTTTTTTTTTAGATTTTATTTAATAATTTGACAGAGAGAGACACAGCGAGAGAGGGAACACAAGCAGGGGGAGTGTGAGAGGGAGAAGCAGGCTTCCTGCAGAGCAGGGAGCCCGATGCGGGGCTCGATCCCAGAACCCTGGGATCATGACCTGAGCCGAAGGCAGATGCTTAACAACTGAGCCACCCAGGTGCCCCATGGGCTGGCTTTATTGTCTGTGGTTGCTTCTTTTTTAAAAAAAATTTTTAGGGGGCGCCTGGGCGGCTCAGTGGGTTAAGCGACTGCCTTCGGCTCAGGTCATGATCCTGGACTCCCTGGATCGAGTCCTGCATCGGGCTCCCTGCTTGGCAGGGAGTCTGCTTCTCCCTCTGACCCTCCCCCCTCTCATGTGCTCTCTCTCATTCTCTCTCTCTCAAATAAATAAATAAATAAAATCTTTTAAAAAAAATTTTAGATTGAGATATAATTTACATGTCCTAAAATTCACCTTTTTAAAGTGTACAATTCAGTGGGTCTTAGTATATTCACAAAATTGTGTTGCTGAAACACTATCTGGTTTCAGAACATCAGCGTCACCCCAAAAGAAACCCCTTGCCCATCAGCAGTCACTCCCTACTCCCTCCCCCAGTCCCTGGCCACCACTAACCTACTTTCTATTTCTTTTTTTCTTTTTTTTTTTTTAAAGAGTTTATTTATTTATTTGAGACAGAGAGAATGAGAGAGAGCACATGAGAGGGGGGAGGGTCAGAGGGAGAAGCAGGCTTCCTGCTGAGCAGGGAGCCCGATGTGGGACTCGATCCAGGGACTCCAGGATCATGACCTGAGCCGAAGGCAGTCGCTTAACCAACTGAGCCACCCAGGCGCCCCCTACTTTCTGTTTCTATAGATTTTCTTATTCTGAACTTTTTTTTTTTTTAAGGTTTTATTTATTTATTTGAGAGAGAGCACGAGCAGGGGGAGCGGCAGGCAGAGGGAGAGGGAGAAGCAGACTCCCCGCTGAGCAAGGAGGCCAATGTAGGGCTCAATCCCAGGACCCTGATATCATGACCTGAGCCAAAGGCAGACGCTTAACTGACTAAGCCACCCAGGCGTCCCTGAACATTTCATATAAATATTTTAAATTCCTGAAAAATTCACTCCTCGTTTTTATCTGTTTCATATTTTGAAGCTCTGCAAATACATCACCAGTCTTATTCACCACTGCTTGCCCAGGACTTAGAACAATACATGACACGTAACAGTGGCTCAGTAAGTACCTAATGAATGAATCTTTCTGCTAAAAATTTGGCAAATCGAGTACTAAGGCATCGGTTCCTAAACCTGACTGTGTGTATCAACTGCCTTAACGAGTGTTTTTTAAAATATAGTCCACTGGGCCGTGCTGAATCAGCCTCTCTGGGGCCAGCATTGGAACTGCTGTTATTCAGTTTCCCTGGGTGACGTTGACAGAGCTTTCCACAGACCCTTGCCTGGTTTCCACTGCCCTGAGAAGTGTTGTCTTTGGACACAGGGCCAATGACTTCCATGGTTATCCTCCCAGGCCTAGGGGATCTCACTCTGGTCCAGAGGTACATGGTCAGGGCTCTCCTTCTGGATCCATTGGCATTCCAGTCCACTGATCATTACTGGCTTCACTCCAACTGTAGACCTTTCAATGTGACCAGTGATTCTCCATGTCTGGAGTGCACCACAGGTCAGTTTTTCCCAATTCCTCTACCTTAGGCCTGCTTCCTTATTTTAGGTAACAGAGATTGAAGCCATGCTAGTTTGAACAACAGAAGTTCTCCGTGGATGCAGAAAAGAATCTCGCCACTTCTTACATTCTATGACTGTCCTCCCTACTCCCCAAGGACTTGAGGGAGAAGCACATGCCATGCAAGAAAGTTTAAGGTTCCTCTTTACCCTCCACCTCCCAGAAAGGGGCAGGAGTTCCCACAGACTCAGACTCAGCTCATCTTTCGAAGTCAAGTTTCTTTCCCACTGAGGATGGACCTAAAGAGAAAGAACTCCTGACTCACCTTTATTTGCTTGCTCAAATTTTACTTCCCCTTTTCTTACAGAAAGGACTTTGTCATATCGGCAAATTTAAAGATTCTCTAGAGACTTCCAGCTATTTATCTATAGTCAGAGGAGGCCCAGAGGGTGAGGAAGACCGGGGTATGGCAGTGGGGTTGCCCCTTAGGGCAGAGCGGGCGTAGCAGAGTAGGGGTGGGAGTAGGAGTCAGTAAGGGGAGGGAAGTGGGGGACAGGGAGGCAGAGCGAGGCTAGATGACCACGAGGTAGAGCCCAGTCAACAAAGCACGGTATCCATGAATGTACAGCAATTTCCAATCCCAGTTCAAGGAAACCGCGGCACCAGGGACTTGCGAAGTCTCAGGACAGACAGCTTCACAGGCCTGCAAAGCATAGCAACATAGACTCTGCGGCACTCTGCCACTCAAAATGTGGTCCTCCACCAGCAGCAGCATTTGTTAGAAATGGAGAATCTCAGGTCCCACCACGCAACTTAACAAGATCCCTGCGTGATTTGAACACGCACTGAAGTGCTCAGAACCAGCTTGGGAACAAGCACAACTCGATGTTAAAACCCGGTAGATGACTTGACTGAGGCTGGGACTAAGACACTCTCAAGTTGTAGTGCACAGGAGAATTGCCTGGAAGGCTTCTGATTCAGCAGACTTTGGGTGGGGACAGGATTCTATAGTTTCAGGAAGCACACGGGTGATTCTGACTCCAGATGTACAAACTGGTTTAGTTCTGGGCAGATGACATGAGGTTCCCACCTATGTGTGTGCAGAATAATATTTTGAACCCTTAACTAATTTTTTCCATTTTTCTCTCTTCTCTCTTTTACCCATTTCCAGCACATAAATCTATTTCATGCCTCTTGCCATTTGGGAGGGCAAAAGCAAAAAAGAATGAGGGGGACAGACAGGCCAACTTCTTCCTGACTGTGGCTTCTAGACGCCTAAAGCCCAGAGTGGTACTGAGAAGAGTCAGTCAGGGCCAGATGTTTGGAAGTGGGATTGGAGGAGGGGCACTTCTCCACTCCAGAAAAAATTGCTTTGTGCTGGGTAAAAAGAGGGATGGACAACCAGTATCCTCAGATGTCACTGAGGCCAAGGGCCTGGGGCTCTGTGCCCTAATTGCTGCAGAGAAGTTCATGTCTCAGGGGGATTCCACTGCCCTCAAGACTAAGAATGGAGTAACACGGGAAAGGCCGTGGGACTTGCAGGAACCAAGTGGACAGGAATGAGGGGCATCCCAGGTGCAACCTGCATCAACTGGTATGTTGGAGGGATGGTCCTGGCAGACACCTACGTGGACAGATGACCTGAAGATCAGATAGACCCTCCCTGCCCCCATCATCACACTTCTGCGTTCATAAGCCCTACAGATGCAGATTTAAACTCAAATAAATGCCCGGGGTACTGAGTGTGAAGCCCCGGTGGATTAGGCACTTGGAATTCAGTTGTTATAGAAAATAAAGAAAGCCAGAATGTGGAGTGAAAATTGCACAAGGCACAGAGGAAAGCTGGGGCGACTTCAACTCAAGAACAGCTTCCAAATGACCCTCCTCTGGGGGCCCTCCTATGGCACCTCTAGGGCAGCAGAACCTCTCACCACTGCCTCCACCTTTTCTCCTCAGAATCCCCAGCTTCTCCCCCTCAAACATCCTATTTTCTTTATGCGTTCTTCATTTTCTTTCTTCTCCTCAAAATTGCCTCTAATGGGCCAGGAGGAAAAAAACTCCCTGACCCTTCAAAACTAAAGTCTCAAGAGCAACGAAGAAGCAGCCATTCTCTTTTTGACCCACTTTCTCCTGGGAAAGGAGAAGCCACTTTTCAAAACATTGCTCCACCTTCCCTCCCTGGAGGGGAGTGTGAACCCCATGAAGGCCTGTCCCCGTGAGGTATTCCTGGGGCCACAGAAAAGGGCAAAATGCTCTGTATTCAAACAAGATGAGCCTTCGCATCTCCTACCCAAGTATTCTTACCAACGTTGTTTTTAATTTGAGGTCAAGATGAAAAATGTGTTAGCTTTTGAGGAAAATGCCCGCTAATAACGGCTAAGATAGGGTCCCCGTTTCCACCCCTTCCTTCCCCAGTGAGGAAGGGCAGCTTCCCTCAAGATTCCAGGTCTTTGTGTGACCAGAAATGTCTACCCCAGAAAGACGATTTCATACTCACAGCATTTGCCCAGTAATTGTTTACGGAAGTGGAAGTGTCAAAGGAATTCCAGGACTAGGAGTGGCCTGCCAGGGGCAACAGCACCCCAACTTCCCCTTCCTGAGGTGAGACCAGCATGGAGGGAGAAGCCCGCTGAGCACAAGAAGGAAATCCCACACACATTTGCCAGCTCTGTTATTTCTGGGCAAGAACTTTCCCTACTTAATCCCAAAAACAACAGGGGCTGGCCTTGTGCCAGCCCCACCTCCCCACACCTGCCTCAAGCCTCTCCAAGGCTGCCTCAGGGCTCCCTGGGGACGGCAGTGGGCTGCTCCCCCCTCCTCCAAACCCAGCATGATTTTTGTTCACTCTTTTCCAGGCTCAAAGAAGTGGAACAAGCTGTCTGAAAGTGGGTACAGACCGCTAACATAAGTGACTCCAATCACAAGCACCACCTCAAATTACAGCCTGCCCCGCACTTCCTCATTCTTTTCATCATCTCGCAGAGGTACGTACGGGGGTCTCCTGCACTTACAGCCCTCCTAGCATGGCTACAGCCACACTATGTCACACTGTGACCTCGCCACACCTCGGTGGGACAGGCAACTGCGGGGGAGCCCATCGGTTGTAGGGCGTCTGACTGCAGTCACGCGGGCAGAGAGGAGAAAGAGAGAAGGTACGGAGGGAAGAAACTATGAGCTAGGAAAGTGAGAGACCACCGGCCAGTCCTGGCTCCTGATACTGGGAGCCACTGGGTTTCATAAAGCACCCCTGTGCATCACCCCAGTATCTTATGTCTGCCTCAGAGCAACACTGTGTCTTCACTAGATTGTCTCTCTCGTGATTATCCAGGATCTCTTTGACACCAGAGACTTTTTTTTTTTTTTTAAGATTTTATTTATTTGAGAGAGAGAGAATGAGAGACAGAGAGCATGAGAGGGAGGAGGGTCAGAGGGAGAAGCAGACTCCCTGCCAAGCAGGGAGCCCGATGCAGGACTCGATCCAGGGAGTCCAGGATCATGACCTGAGCTGAAGGCAGTCGCTTAACCAACGGAGCCACCCAGGCACCCGACACCAGAGACTTTTTTTACTCATATTTGTAACTTCAGCCCTTGATGGAGAAGTCTGTCACAGAAAAGATGAGTCAGGTGTCAGTTGAATGAATGAAAGACAACTCGATTATCCCACATTATCCTTAAAGAGCTCATGTCTCGCGACCATAGTCGTTCAACATTATGTTTGATGATTTTGTGTGTGTGTGCACGCACACACACACACACACACACAAGTTAAATATCTTTTCTTCCATCCATGCCGTCACATTTGCCTTTGTGGCAGCCTGGCAACACAGGGCTCCTCAGTGGTACTCACGCCTGTGGAATCCACAGCAAGACGTTCCAGAGTGAGGTCCCACCTCGCAGTCGTTCTCCCTCTCGGCATCGGCCCCCCACGTCCTGCTGCAGAGACTAGCAAATTACCAGCCTTGTTTGGGGCTCGAGCACAGGCAGGTGACCCAGTCCTTACTCCTGGGACTTGCCGTGGCTTCTGTTGAGAACCTCTGCGAAACCAGGGCCTCCTTGATAAACGAAGAGACCGGCTGGGAACACTCCGCTCTTCTTGCTGGAGACAAGGCCTCATGAGGCTGTGATGCCTGGAGCCCCAGAGTGATTTTAAAACCCTGAAGGGAGAGCCGAATCACTACGTTGCACACCTGAAACTAATAGAACATGGTATGTCAACCCTGCTGGAATTTTAAAATTAATTAATTTTTTAAAATCCTGAAGGGAGATGTCACCAAAACGTTGAGAGTGGCAGAGCAGGAAAACAGAAAGAGCCTGGGTGCTTAACAACTGTCCTCGAAGGTATCCATGTTCTCATCCCCGAAACCTGCAAATCTTACTTTATTTAACAAAAGGGACTTTGCAGGTGCAATTAAGAGTCTTCAAATAAGAGGCTATCCTGAATTTTCTGGGTGGGCCCTCACTGTCACCACAAGGGTCCTTAGGACAGGGAGGCCGAGGGGGGTTTGACTGCAGGATGTGCGATGTTGCAGCATCTCAAGGAGGGGGCCGCGGGCCAGGGAATGTGGGCAGCCTTCAGAAGCTAACAGAGGCAAAGAAATAGATTCTTCCCTAGAGCTTCCAGAAAATATCAGCCCTGCCAACTGACACTAGTCCAGTGAAACTGATTGCAGACTTCTGGCCTCCACAACTGTAAGAGAATAAATTTGTGTTGGTTTTTTTTTCAAGATTTTGTTTGTTTGTTTGTTTAGAGAGAGTGGTGGGGGAGGGAGAGAATCTCAGGCAGACCGCTCACTGAGCAAGGAGCCCAACACTGGGCTTGATCTCATGACCCTGAGATCATGACCTGAGCTGAAATCAAGAGTCCAGACGCTTAACTGACTGAGCCACCCAGATGCCCCTGAAGTGACATCATTTTTTTAATGCCTATGCTTTAAAACTGTTTTCAGCAGGCTTGTTGTTACTTGTACCCCCAAAGCATCCTAAATAACACTTTTAGCATGACTTTTAGCATGATGGGTGTGGGGGCATCATAGGATGTTGATTCAGCTGTTAATAAAGAATTTAAAAAAAAATAGAGCAGAGGACACCTGGGTGGCTTAGTCAGTTTAGCATCCAACTCTTGATCTCAGCTTAGGATCTTGATCTCAGGGTTGTGAGTTCAAGCCCTGTGTTGGGCTCCATGCTGGGTGTGGAGCCTACGTAAAGGAAAAAAAAAAAAAATAGAGGGCTAGTAGGGCAGTTCAGGTTCAAGAGCTTCATTCAGAACCAGGCTTCATGTATCTAGCATACTGAGTACTTCCTACCTTATTTTTTTAGTACTGGTAAAATAAGTAGCAATATTTTTGAATGATCAAAAAAGTGTACCTTCTGCTCTGCCATTCCTGTGGTGGGGCCCTCATCCTCATGGCCCATCGGGGTTTGTCACACTATAAGCAGGCGAAGGGAAGAGGAGAAGGCCCGGGAGAGGGCACATCAGGAAAGCGGCACGTCTACTCAGTAGACGTGTAGTAGTACTTACATGTCTGAGGCCCATGCCTACGTGTCAGGGAAGCTGGAGGTCTGTATTCCCAGGTGCCCAACTGGAAACGCAGAAAAAGAAGGGGAAAGCACACATTCAGGGACAACGGATGGTCGTCTGAGGAGTTCTGTGTTGCCGAGTACATGAACATTCAGGTTAAAATCAAGGAAGCGGGCGCCTGGGTGGCTCAGTTGGTTAAGTGACTGCCTTCGGCTCAGGTCATGATCCTGGAGTCTCGGATCGAGTCCCGCATCGGGCTCCCTGCTCGGCAGGGAGCCTGCTTCTCCCTCTCACCCTCCTCCCTCTCATGTGCTGTCTGTCTCTCTCATTCTCTCTGTCTCAAATAAATAAATCTTTAAAAAATTAATTAATTAATTAATTAATTAAATTCTCTCTCTCTCATTCTGTCTGTCTCAAATAAATAAATAAATAAATCTTTAATTAATTAATTAATTAATTAATTAATTAAAATCAAGGAAGCCTCCGCATCTCAGTGGTCACCCAGCACCCCTCCCGGTCCACTGCCACGGCTGACAATTGATGTACTATTAATTGGTAGCAGCAGAACCTGCAGTATATAAGAAAGATAGGCGGGGCACCTGGGTGACTCAGTGGGTTGGGCGTCTGCCTTGGGCTCAGGTGGTGATCTCCAGGTCCTGGGATCGAACCCCCCATCGGGGCCCCCTGCTCAGCGGGGAGCCTGCTTCTCCTTCTCTCTCTGCCCCCTCCCCCGGTCGTGCTCTCTGTCTCTCTCTTAAATAAATAAAACCTTAAAAAAAAAAAAAAAGGAAAGAAAGAAAGATAGCTGCGGTGGTGCCCTTCCCCCTTACCTTCCCCTCACCGCCCAGGGCACCTCTTTGGGACATCAGTGTTCAGGGAACACATTTTGAAACAATGCATCCGCCTAAGAGGAAGCAAAACCGTATACTGCCAGACATAGTCATTCTCGGGGATTCCCGAGGCTTGGAGTCTATTTCTCTTGCTGGAACCACACGCACTCACACGCACAGACACCCCACGCCCAACCTTCGGTAAAGAAGCTGCACTAGGGGGCGCCTGGGTGGCTCAGTTGGTTGGGCGACTGCCTTCGGCTCAGGTCATGATCCTGGAGTCCCGGGATCGAGTCCCGCGTCGGGCTCCCTGCTCGGCGGGGAGTCTGCTTCTCCCTCTGACCCTCCCCCCTCTCATGTGCTCTCTCTCATTCTCATTCTCTCTGTCTCAAATAAATAAATAAAACCTTAAAAAAAAAAAAAAGAAGCTGCACTAGGCAGGGCTCGGTATGTTTTAGAGCCACTCACTCCAGGGGAAACAGAGGCCGGAGCACCCTGCTCAGCAAGGGAGAAGCCATTTTTAATTATCCTCCGAAGCCCTAAGCCTGCGGCGCTGTCTGGGGCCAGCGTGAATGCTGGTTGTCATGGCACTGCCTCGAATTACTTACGTCTGCAAGGGCCCATCACGTGCCGCTCCCGTACGCTGGGGCCACGTCTCTCTTCCTACTGTTTGTTGATTGATGCTCGAGCTCTGCACCAGGAATAGAGTTCAATCAGCAGGGAAGCAAAGCCGCGTGTCGCCACGTCTCCTGCTTAGCTGATACATAAGTGACCAGGGCCTGGAAATACTTGAACGAGAGATCCAGGCTCTGTTCACAGTTCTCCACTGTGTGGCTTGGGGCAAATCCTTTCATTTCTCTGTGCCTCGGATTCCTCGGCTGCGCAATCAAAGAGATGGACTAGAATGTCTCCAGGGTCTCCTGATCTCCTGATCTCCTGATGTAACCGTCTCTGATTCCTGCGTGCTGTTTTGAAGCTGCAGAGATGAGCAGAGAGATCTGCAGACGATGAGCCTCCAAGTGGGAGTGAGGCAATTCCTGTCAACTGTTGCACTGTCCTCCCAGCGCCGACTGTTTCTGAAACTCCCCTCCAGCACCTCCGGGCTGCTACAGATTTGTTTAGAGTCGATTCGCTGGCAAGATGCCACTTGCCTAAAGGTCCCCTCTGATATACTAAGGGGACTGTTTTCAGCTTGAGTTGAGTCTTTATTCGCCTTGAAATGATTTCTTCTTGGAATAGTCCGTGGTTCGATGCTCAGGAGTTCGGTCCCAGAGATTGTTATCCCCCCGAATAAATTCTAAAACTAGAGAAAGATACCCGTGGGAGGCTGGCCTCTTGACCTGTTGCAGAATAGTATCTCATGGGATCAAGAGAGCAGTGAAGAAATAGCTCTGATATTTGTCTGATGAGTGTGCAGCTGATTTCACCAGCCATAATACAAATGAGGTCCTCTTTATAGTTCTGATTACTTTGTCCTGACCCCTAGGCCTCACTTGCCGATTGCAGGGATGGGGGATCTCACCCTCCAAGTCTCCTCCCTACCCCACCTCAGTTATTTCTGGGAATCCCCACGGGACGTCTCGTGTATATCCACAGAACAAAAATATGGCCTGGGAAGCAAAGGGATACAACAGGAGTAAGGTGTCTTGGCATAAGGCAGGGCTACACACGTCTCGGGGAAAAAATCTAGGGCTTGGATAACTTCACTGTCTCAATAACAAGGTTGAATCCCTCAGTTTGCCTGACCAGGGGTGAGCGGAAGCTCGAGGCAGACTTCCCAGAGAAGGGAAGGATCTTATGGGCTGACTCCTGAAGGAGATGCTAAGTCAAATGATGCTGGTCAAATGCAAATCAAATTCAAAGCAGGTAGCTGCTGCCTTGCTCCCTGACTCATTGAACACCCCCCTTTCAACTGGAAATTTTCAATTTGTTCATTCATTCTGTTTTTGTTTTTTTTTTTTAATTGTCCAATACTTAGAATTAAGGCAAAAAGATGATTCCATGTCCTTCCAATGTCATGTTGGAGCATTGCCCAGCAGACCTACCCAAGCATTATTCCTCTAAAGAATGTACCTTTGTTTGACTTATTACTTATTATCATTGGGGCCCAGCTTCTGTGAAGTTACCTGTTAATTTGTAGGGTTTTGTCCATTAGAGATGCAAATGATTCAGAAGAGAAGATAACTCCAAATGTTACAGTTTCTTGCCCTTTAGGACATTAACCAGATTTACCTCTAACCAAACCAACTTATCTCATCATGCCTCCTGACTCTGTTCCTAGAATTCTCCTTAGACCAGCTGTATTATCTTGCTGGTTCCTTCATTAAATGGATTAAGTAAATATTTGATACATGCTCACTATATGTTTGATGAGCATCATGTTTTCAACTCTTGGAAAATTACCCTTTGACATTCCCTTAACAGATATGTGTTGAGCAATTCTTACAGGCAAAGCACTGTGTTCAGGGCAGGTGATAGAACAGAGAACAAGATAGACAAGGTCTCTGCCCTCATGGAGCAAACATTCTGGAGGAGAGAAAATCTGTAAATAAATCAATACATTACGGATTGTGATGATGTGTAATGAAGAAAAATACCAAAGATGCTGTGACAGATCGATGGGAGACCTGGTCAAGACAGGCCTCTCCTTCCTTGAAAGACATTAAGCTGAGATTTGAAGGAGGGAAACCAGCCCTGCAAAGAAGCAGGGGAAAGAGCTGAGAGGTAAAAGAAATGACAAGCTCAAGACCCTGCAGGGGAGGTTGGTGTCCCGGGAACTAGAAGGCCCAGGCTAGAGTGAAATGAATCAAAGGAAAGATGGCATGGGATAAGATCATAGAAGTAGTGTGGAACTTAGAATTTAATGTCAGTACTTGTCATTTACTAAGAACTAAGGAAGGAAGAAGGGGAGGAGGGTTCACCAGTCACAAGCTGGGTGGCCCCCACACCTTAGTAATTTTAATATGTCAAATTATCTATAGGAGTTCTTTTAGCTTTCTTAATGTTAACATCTTTCATACCATGGCACATTTCTCAAAAATAAGAAATTAATATTGTACAGTCCTATTAACTACAGTTTATTTGGATTTCTCCAGTTTTACCACTAAATGATTCCTTCTATTCCAGGACCTAATCCAGGATTAGGAAATTCAGGATTTCCTTTTTGGCTGGAGAAGCAGCACCATTCTTGCCCTTGGGGACTGTGGGATTTGCACTCCCACTCCCAGCTTTTGTTTTCCTGTGGGCCTCACCACCTTGGCTCTTGTCACTTGTCATGTCTCCTTGATCTCCTCCGGGCAATGAAAGTTTCTTGGTCTTTTTGTATTTCTCTTGAAGAGTGCCAGGTATTTTATAGAATGTTTCTGAGTTTGGGTTTGTCTGATGGTTTCTCAGGATTAAACTGAAGGTATAGATTTGGGGAAAAAAAAACAACAGAGACGATATGACAGGTTTTCTTTTAACATAGATATACTCAAGAACCTGGCTGACAATTGTCCTGTGACATTTAGGGGAGGAGAGATTTTGTGACATTCAGGAAAAGAAGGGGAAGGGTCATGAAACTGAGGTTAGGGAGAAGGATGTCATGTTATTCCACAGAGGAAGGGAAATATGATTATAAGTTAGCAAATTCAAAAGGCTGGCTTCAGTGAAAGATAATGGATGCATTACCTATCGATGGAACACACTGGTAAAAACTTACAGAGCCGGGACTTTCTCAAGATTTCAGCTTCTCCTCTAATTGGCAGTTGAGGTAACATGAAACTTCCTTATGGGGGGTTGGTTTTCTTTATCAAGAATCAAGGTTATGGTCATACATGATCATGTTTGAATTTTATTCTAAGACCAAAAGGAAGTTGACGAAGGGTTTTAGGCTGGAGACCGGTACTCCAAGCTGAGAAAACAGCATAGGGAAAGGCATGAGGGGTGAGGGGGCACTTGGCACACTGGAGTAAATGGATTGCCTGAAGGGTAAGGTAAACAGAAAGGAACTGTGAAAAACAAGGTTGAAAAGGAATCAGTAGAGATGCCTGGGTGGTTAGGTCAGTTAAGCATCTGCCTTCAGCTCAGGTCATGATCCCAGGGTCCTGGGATCGAGCCCCTCATCAGGCTCCCTTCTCAGTGGGGAGCCTGCTTCTCCCTCTCCTCCCTGCTCGTGCTCTCTCTCACTATCTCTGTCATTATTTCTGTCTCTGTCTCTCTCTCTCAAATAAATAAAATCTTAAAAAAGAAAGAAAAAGAAAAAGAATCAGTAGTCAGAGCAGGAGGGGCCTTTTATCCCATGTGAAAGCATTTTGGATCTGATAAATGATCCAGAAGTCAACAGTTGACTTCATTCTGGACCTTGGTCCAAAAACCACTCTATCCAATTATTTTGCAGGGTCAAGTCACTGATTTTAAGGAATCACTGGGCAAAAGAGCAGGTGGGATTCTACAAGTTCATCCATTGCTCAAATGCCACATCTTATCACTGGGTCAAGTGTGTTAGCTGATGTGCTATGAAGAACAGCACATTATGACTATTAGATCAGTCATCACCAATATTTAACTTGTTTGCACTATTGAAAGGAGTGGTTGTATGGCTCCGACATCCTCCCTCACTCCCTATGTTAGGGGTGTGGTTACCATGTTCTCTTTTCCTTTTTTTTTTTTAATTTTTTTAATTTTTTAAGTTTTAATTTTTTAATTTTAATTTTAATTTTTTAATTTTTTTTAACTTTTTAATTTTATTTTTAAGTAATCTCTCACCCAGTATGGGGCTCAAACCCACAATCCCAAGATCAAGAGTCACATGCTACGGCATCTGGGTTGGCTCAGTCGGTTAAGCATCTGAGGTCATGGGATCTCAGGGTCCTGGGATCAAGCCCTGCATCAGTCTCCTTGATCGAGGGGAACCTGCTTCTCCCTCTCCTCCAGCTCAGTGCTCTCTCTCTCTTTCTAATAAATAAATAAAATCTTAAAAAATATATTTTTTTTTTGCACAGAAGGCTAGAGAACTTTGAGAAAAATTGAAGATAACCTAAATAAATGGAAGTATGTACATTGCTCACGGATTAGACGTTTCAATGTTATACATACGTCAATCTCACCAAATCAATTTATAGATTCAATGCAATCCCAATGAAAATCCCAATAGGTGTATTTGCAAAAAATAGTAACCTGATTCTAAAATGTATATGGAAATGCTAAGGGCCAAAAATAGCCAAACACACTTAAAAAGTACATGGTGGGAGCACATATTCTATCATTACTAAGTTTTATTACAAGACTATAGTATAATATGGTATGACATTGGTGTAGTAACTAAATTTAAAAAATTTTAAACCTCCTACAAATTAAAAAAGAAAAGACTGTTAACTCAATACAAAGATGGACACTTGACTAGACACTTTATAGAAAAGGACATCCAAATAGCCATAAGAAAAGGTATTCAGCCTCATTCCTTAGAAAAATGCAATACGATATACTACACATTCACATTTAAAAGAATGATTGAGCCAGCCAGGTGCCCCCCTCCTTTACCCTTTCTACTGGCTCCTTTGCAGTAGCTTTGGTACCTTCTGCTAACTGTTAAATGTTGGCTCCTCAAGCCTTTTCTCGCCCTGTGCTTTTTCTCTACAGGATTTTATCTAGCCTTGTTTCCCCTGCATTCCGTGTCCTGAAAACTCAAAATCCATACCGTCTGAGTTGTCACCTGAGATCCAGACGATTTCCAACTGTTTCCTGGCCTTCCTGGGAAACGTGCACCTCAAACTCAGTCCAAAACAAAACTTTTTCTTCCTCTCCCCATCCAATTCTGCTCCTCTTTTTGTGTTCCTCATTTCAGGTATTGGGACCATCATCCACCTAATCCCCCAAATTAGAAAACTTAGAGCCATCTTTGACTTTTCCTTCTTTATCACTTCTCACACCTAATCTGCTACTAAATCATGTCCATTTTTATTTTTTTTTAAGATTTTATTTATTTATCCGCGAGAGAGTGCATGTGAAGTTCAGGAGAGGAGCAGAAGGAGAGGGAGAATTTCAAGCAGACTCTGCCCTGAGTGCAGAGCCCAACACAGGGCTCAGTCCCATGACCCTGAGATCATAACCTGAGTGGAAACCAAGAGTCAGACACTTAGCCGGCTGTGCCACCCAGACACCCCAAATGATGTCCATTTTATTTTAAATATTTTATTTATTTATTTGACACAAGAGAGAGACAGAGCACAAGCAGGGGGAGCAGCAGAGGGAGAGGGAGAAGCAGGCTCTCTGCTGAGCAGGGAGCTGAATGCGGGGCTCGATCCCAGGACGCAGGGATCATGACCTGAGCCAAAGGCAGACGCTTAACCGACTGAGCCACCCAGGCACCCCATCATGTCCTTTTTTAAAGCCATTTTCTCCATTTTCCCCAAATACCTTATTTCTT